CAGGCAACATCAACAGACACAAGACAGGGGGGTGAACAGGCAAGACGACATGAAGGGGGGGAGGGAGGGAAGCCAAGCCGGACTCAACAAGACAAACAAGGGAGGGATGGGAGGGCAAGACCAGGGAGGATCAGGAGGGACAGTCCAGGGTGGATTCAGTGGGTCGGGGGCCCCGGCAGGGAGCCAGGGTGGAGCCGGAGGGTCCTTCCAGGGTGCAGGGAGGGAACACCAGGGAGGTGCAGGGAGGGAACACCAGGGAGGAGCAGGAGGGACGACCCAGGGAGAGTCTATCAGGGGAGACAAGGCAGGAGGTCGGTGGGGAGCCGGCTGGGCTGGAGGCCTGTGGGGAGCCGGCTGGGCTAGAAGCGGCTGGGCTGAAGCCGGCAGGGCTGGAGACCAGAGGGGAGCCGGCAGGGCTGGAGACCAGAGCGGAGCCGGCAGGGCTGGAGACCAGAGGGGAGCCGGCAGGGCTGGAGACCAGAGGGGAGCCGGCAGGGCTGGAGACCAGAGGGGAGCCGGCAGGGCTGGAGACCAGAGGGGAGCCGGCAGGGCTGGAGACCAGAGGGGAGCCGGCAGGGCTGGAGACCAGAGGGGAGCCGGCAGGGCTGGAGACCAGAGGGGAGCCGGCAGAGCAGGGAGCTGGGCTGGGACCAGCAGGGCTAGACGTCTGGTAGGTTCCGGCAGGGCAAGGAGCCGGGCTGGGGCAGGCAGGGCTAGACGTCTGGTAGGTGCCGGCAGGGAAAGACGTCTGGTAGGTGCCGGCAGGGCAAGGTGTCTGGGTGGCGCCGGCAGGGCAAGGGGCCGGGCTGGGACCGGCTGGGCAAGACGTCTGGGTGGCGCCGGCAGGGTAAGGAGTTGGGCTGATGCCGGCAGGGCGAGACGTCTGGTTGGCGCCGGCAGGGCAAGGGGCCGGGCTGGGGCCGGCAGGGCGAGACGTCTGGGTGGTGCCGGCAGGGCAAGGGGCCGGGCTGGGACCGGCTGGGCGAGACGTCTGGGTGGCGCCGGCAGGGCGAGACGTCGGGCTGATGCCGGCAGGGCGAGACGTCGGGTTGGCGCCGGCAGGGCAAGGAGCCGGGCTGGGGCCGGCAGGGCGAGACGTCTGGGTGGCGCCGGCAGGGCGAGACGTCTGGGTGGCGCCGGCAGGGCGAGACGTCTGGGTGGCGCCGGCAGGGCAAGGGGCCGGGCTGGGACCGGCTGGGCGAGACGTCTGGGTGGCGCCGGCAGGGCGAGACGTCGGGCTGATGCCGGCAGGGCGAGACGTCGGGTTGGCGCTGGCAGGGCAAGGAGCCGGGCTGGGGCCGGCAGGGCGAGACGTCTGGGTGGCGCCGGCAGGGCGAGACGTCTGGGTGGCGCCGGCAGGGCGAGACGTCTGGGTGGCGCCGGCAGGGCGAGACGTCTGGGTGGCGCCGGCAGGGCGAGGAGCCGGACTGGAACCGGCACTGAGGGGCGCTCAGGGGCTGGAGCCGACACTGGAGGGCGCTCAGGGGCTGGAGCCGACACTGGAGGGCGCTCAGGGGCTGGAGCCGACACTGGAGGGCGCTCAGGGGCTGGAGCCGACACTGGAGGGCGCTCAGGGGCTGGAGCCGACACTGGAGGGCGCTCAGGGGCTGGAGCCGACACTGGAGGGCGCTCAGGGGCTGGAGCCGACACTGGAGGGCGCTCAGGGGCTGGAGCCGTTGTGGTGGAGGAGCCCTTTCTCCTCCGACGCTTCCTTGGTCTGGGTGGCGGGAAGCTGGCCACCTCTTCAGACACTGCAGTATACTCCACTGCCTGCAGGACTGATGCAGTGTCTGTTGCGGGTGCTTCACTGGGTGATGCTGCAGCCAGGGTTGTAGCTGGGTGGGCTGCAGCAGGTTCCGTCACCAATAGAGGGGTAACAATAGAGGAAGACCTGTTCCTCCTCCTCAGTTTCCTCTTCTCTGTGGGAGGCAGCAGTGAGCTGGGTTCAGGTTGGTCTGTTGGTGGAAGAACAGAGCAGATTCTCTCCTGACAACATTCATGGGCAACTTGATTAACCATATGGTCCACAAACTGTTTGTACGAGTAGCCCACCAATCTCTGTATCTGCAAAGGATAGAGGGGTTTATCAAGAGCGAAGTTCAGGAGGTTCAAAAGAGCCCAGTCATTGAACCCAAGCCCCTCTGCTGCCATACGGAACCTCTCCGCAAACTCCTTTATCTCAGAACCATGTTGCCGCAGTGCATGCAGATGGAGAAGCTGTGGCATGTGGCTGAGGAAGGAGTCATCCTTCTGCTGGGTCCTCATTATGGTCAGTTCGTACTGTCACGGTCGGTGAGGGGAAAAAAGGAGTGCAGACCCAATTGCAGAAAAAATGTAGAAATATTTATTATAAACTACAAATAAAAATAAAAGGCAAAACAAAACTACCCCGAAGGGGAAAACATGAATTAAAAAGGCAAAAACAAACTTGACAGGGCTGGCAGGACAAAACAGGACTAGAGACAACACGACAGGGTAATATTGACGACGAACTGACAAAGGACTGAAAACATGAGGGGGATTATAAAGCAAAAAGTAAATTGACACACAGGTGAACACAATTAACTAATGATGGGTTAACAAGGAGGGTGGGACTAGACAATAGACGGGAGAGCGCATGACACAGAGAGACAATACAAGCCATGCGCTCACATAACACAACACTGAAGCACACGACAAAAGCACGTGACCATAATGTAAACACCGAGCCACGTGCTTTGACAAAAGACGCAAGACAAGAGCACACGATGAATGAAAACTCAACGTGCGCTCACACACGCAGCGTGCATGCTTCATCCCAGCGCCGACCAAAACCGAAACCAACAAGACTGAGACGCTGGGAATGAAACACCACGCTGCTGACAGACGAAAACACAAACACGAGTACAAGAGCGCATGCGTCTGAGGGACGCAGAGCGCGCACACTCTACGTACACCCACGACGGCGCGCGCTCACACAGAGACAGAAACAGGACCAGACATGAGAAGTGTCAGAGCTCTGCCACCAAAACAAGAATTTTCAAGACCAAAGTGGCAGAACCCTGACAGTGTGGGACAGATAACAGTTCAGCAGAAGATGATCTCAGTGAGCGGGAAGGAGTGTACAAATGAAGAAGATCAGAAAGATAGTGGGGGGCCAGGTTATGAAGAGCTTTGTACGTTGAGAGGAGGATTTTGTATTGTATACGATAGTAAACAGGGAGCCTGTGAAGGTGAAAGAGAATTGGAGTTATGTGATCAGAAGTATGCGAGCAGGTTATAAATATGCATACAGTGAAGATGACGATCAATAAAATATGTAGCTACACGACACCTCAACATGTCTGCTGTCTGTTAAGTGGCTAATATCAAAATGAAAATAGCAGTTCCATAAATTATGTTTTCATTTTAGTGTTAAAATAACACTGTATAAATTAAAATAAAACTGTTCCATTTGAAGATTTACCCAAAAAGTCCTTAGGAGTTTTTTTTTCCATATCAAACTTGTGAAGTCTGAACTGACAAGAAGAGGATGCAGGACTGAACTGTGTGTAGGCTACTTAATACCACCCCAATCAGAGAGGTGAATATCTGCAGCCCTGCCTCCGTTTTTAGATGTCTCTGTTTACCCCCATCCATCCACACTGAGACGGAGCAGCAGTGTTTTAGAATGAAAACGGCCTCTCCAGCGTTTTTAAAACGCTTTGTTTTTGGCGCTCGAAAACTCTGGTGTAGTGTGGACAGATGGTGTAATCGTAGCAAAACTTGTGCATTTTAAAAACAAAACGTATTAGTGTAAACGGGGCCTAAAGTGATTTGAAACACCAAGTAGCGTGACTACATCGATTCAAAGCATCACTCATTTCAGAAGCGCTTCAACACCTATCGAATCCTGACTTGTAAACATTCTGAAATTGTGACTTGATGTATTTTAAAAATGTTCCTCTTTTATGACCAAAACAGGGCATATTTATTCACAAAGTGTTCATTTGAATGTCAGACCAATGTTAAAACACGTGTCACAAGAACAGAACATTTAAAAACTAACATCTCCCTGGGTTTGAATCCATTATCTCAGCATGCTAGTCTGGAACTCACCACTTCCCTAAATGACAACAAGCCCCTAGGGGTACCCTGCCCCCACTTTGGGAAACACTAATCTAGTAAAAAGTAACTTTTCCATCGGTCTTATTACACAATGTAACTCATTGTTTGGGGCTGCGTGTCTAAAGTCGAGGGGAACGCAGCCATATTGTACATCTTCATTATATATACTCCATCTCTAGCTGATGCTGAAATATATGCATAAATCACATCACATCTGAATTATTGCAACTCTTCCACTATTCCAAACTTCTCACTTACAGCATACATTCTGCTCACATTCCCCCTTTTACTGCATGACATTCGCTGACTATCTTTGGTGTCACATTCATTCATTCATCCATTTTCCTTCAGCTTAATCCATTTATTCCTCAGTAGTTGGCACAGTGGAATGAACCGCCAACTTATCCAGCACATGTTTTTCCACAGCTGATACGCTTCTAGCTGCAACCAAACACTGGGATAAATCCATACACACTCATTCACACACATACACTACGACCAATTTAGTTCATTCAATTCACCTATAGCGCATGTCTTTGGATGTGGAGGAATTTGCACCCAGCGGAAACCCACATCAAGACAGGGAGAACATGCAAACTCTACATAAAAATGCCAACTGGCCCAGCCAGGACTTGAACCAGCGAACTTCTTGCTGTGAGGTGTCAGTGCTAACCACTGTCCATCATGTATACACTTTAAAATATTAATCATACCATTTAAGGCATCAATATTTGTTTGACCTAATGTACCATGGAATGTAACACCTCTTAACACCACTTAAAATATACCATATTTTCCTGCAAATTCAGCAATCTGTAAAAGTTTGTGTCTGAATCAAAGTGAACCAATTCAATCCTGATGAATTAGTAAAGTTGTATACAGTTTTGATCTCAGAATGACACATCCTGATGCCCACCCACAAATGCTTTATGTCTCTTTCTGATCCATCCCTCTCATACGCTCATAACTGTATAAATGAGAACCTGGAATACACCCAGTCAAGGCAGAAAAGGAACACACTGGTGTCTGAGGTTTGTTATGTCTTGCATACTTTAACTCGCTTGTTAATTAGCAAAAATACATTGCATGCTGTTTTCATTAGCCTTGTTTCTCTGTTTTTGTTTTTTAGCTTATGGCGGGGTCCAATGGCACATATGGTAACGTGCCTTTCACTCACCAGCAAGTCTTTAAGCTGGACATGGATGCTGGAACCAGCACTAAAACGGCAGTGGCTGTGTTAACATCTCTGTTTTTCTTTTCTGTAAACTGTGTGATGATCTCTGTTCTAAAAAGCAAGCGCATGTTTTATGAGACGCCACGCTATATTCTTTTTGGCCACATGCTTATGAATGACTCTGTGCTTTTGCTGGTCACAACTGTAATGTATACTCTTGCTCTCTGTTTTCTTCCAATACATAAATCCATATGCACTCTGTTAGTCTTGATCTCATACTGTACATTCTTTAACGCTCCTCTGACTCTAGCACTGATGTCTCTGGAACGGTATGTGGCAATCTGCTTCCCTCTGAGACACTGCACCATCGCAACACCTAAAAGAACTGGAATTGCCATTGGAATCATCTGGTTTCTTAGTTCTGTGAATGTTGTGATCGATATTATTATTGCTTTGATTAATAACCCCAGTTATTTAGCAGAAATTGCATTTTGTACACTAGAGAAATTGTTTATAGCCAAATGGCAAATAGATAAATCACAAGGGTTTGATGTGCTCTATTTTGTGTCTGTTGCAGTGACCATTATATTCACATATATCATGATTATGATCACAGCCAGGTCTGTTTCCGCTGATAAAGAATCTGCTAAAAAAGCCCTCAAAACGGTGATGTTGCACTTGATTCAGCTGGGACTGTGTCTCACCTCTTTTCTATATGCCACAATAGAGAGAACACTATACATGGTGATTGGAAGTGGTTCTCCTCTCTTCATAAATCTGAGATATTTAAATTATATTATTGTTCTTATTCTACCACGTTGTTTGAGTCCTCTGATCTACGGCATGAGAGATGAAGCCGTGTGGCCATTGTTCAAATATTTTGTCTGCTTTCGTTCAAGCAAAATAAAGCCCTCTGTTAATGTTCACTAACTGTATAGTATGGGGCGAAACAATAATTTGACAAGCATATGGTAGTACTGATAAGATTTGAAGGTAAATGTAAGTATTATTTATATTACTGCAATTTTATTGTATGATGTTATATCATAAACATAACTATTTCACCAAGTACAAAGATTACAGATTATTGTACCCACACGTGTGTCCATTTGGTTCATAAACAGTTGCTGCAGAATGTTGCTCTAATGCTTGACTCTAATGCATTAAAGCCCAGCTCTTTATAAAATATGACATGAGGTGATAAACATGTTTTGAGTGTTCTGAATTTCATATACATTATGATTTTGACATGACATAAACTGTGAAATAAACTGCAGATTTGAAGCCACAAGCCTTTACACAAAATTCTAGACAAAAACAAACTCATGTCCCGGGCAAACCCCTACAAAGTGCAATGATGAGTGACAGAGGTCTGTCACCAGTACTAGACAAGGTTTTTCAACAGCCATCTGGACCAAAAAGGCAGTGGACTTCAGCATCTTTTGCAAGATGAAGAGCTCAGTCAGACCTACTGTAACACAGGGTTAAGTTCAAGCCTAATTAAATACAGGGCTAGGATCAGAGCCTGGAGTCGACACTGAACTTGAGGCTTGAGCCTTTATTGGACTGAGAGAGAAATATAGTGTGAGAATAGAGAGTAAGAACAATGGAAAATATGTTGAAAAGACATAAGAGCATGTGGACAAGATGAACCTAGCAAAACCTATATATATATATATATTTCGAAATAACCCCTTTCCCAACAAGGGGAAGCTCTTTCAGATGAGGGAATAAATGAAAACAAAAGTATGATAATGCCAAAAAAATAAACAAAAATAATAAAAATAATACAAAATAAATAAATAAAAAGTACTGCCATCATAAATACCTTTCAAGGGATACATTTGTTCAAGTTACATTGTAGTTAGCTCAGATTACATTGGTGATATGTTAATTAACCTCAATGTACAAATATAAATATGATTTAATACTTTCCACCTCTTCAGCAAAATATCAGTCTTCATTTATAGACATGCAGTCATTTTTTCCAATACATACTGTAGACCTGCTTAAGTCTCTTAATCCACTGAGCCACCTTTAGAGGACCTTCTTCCATCCAATGTACTGTTATCATTTTGTTTTGCATCCAGTAATAATATTCTTAGAACAGAACGTATATTGGTTCATCATTAAACATTTCTTTGGACAATGCTGCCGATAAGCACACAACTGGACCGAGGGGTGTTTCTATATCTAATGTATCTATTTCTTTTTCAAACACTTTTCCAAATTTCTTAAATCTTAGGGCAGTCCCAATAAATGTGGGTATGATCTCCTATTTTACCACATTTTCTCCAACACAAAGCATCATGTTGTCCTTTTACATATGTAGAAATTATAAAAGGAGTAATAGAGTACCTCAATTTTACTTTCCAATCAAATTCTTTCTATAATTGACTTAATTCCTTTATGACATCCTTCACATCACTCAATCCAGACCTCATCCTCAATTATGGCATTTAGTTTTAGTTCCCATTTTCTGAAACATCATCTGTATTTTGTACAGTGTTAGTTACTAATCTTTTGTATAAATGGAAGACAAGTCTTTTAGCTTAAATAAAGCTTTGTGGTCTTATAAGAATTTGACTGCTTAAGGTACACATCCTAGGACCCCCAAAGGCATGCCCTGTAACAGACTACATGTTCGAGGAAAACATGAAAACCCAGATCCAACACCTTGTTCCTGCCCACATATCAAACTGGAAGTTGAGTGGTCCACTCCTTTTAGCTCTCAAGCAAGCTAAAAAAGACTGACTGTGAGCCATGATTTGAACAAATAAACCTGAACTGTGCTTACTGTGCCACATCTTTGCCAAACTAATCCATATATGCTTTAGGATAACTAAATCTTATATGCAGCCCATTGTAGGTGCATAGCCACATTAGCAAATGGTTTCTGTGCCACATTTAAACTGGCTTTGATATGTTTAAGACAACTGCGTCACATTTGGTGAAACATATGTATGCTCTTTACTTTTAAGGTGTAAACACAAAACAAACTTAACAAGTGGAAAAAAAAACAATGCCTTTAAGTGTTTTGGAAGTGTTATTGCAGAGCAACACAGACAGACTGCAGAAGCCAGTCTAGTAGACTTCCCATGTTTTTGTCTGGCTGCATTGTTTGATGATACTGTTGGACTTGCTGAATAAACTCCTTTTTTGAACCAGAGCTTGTGCCTTGGCAATTGGGTTCATCACATCTTCCTGTGAGTAAACTGTAGAACATTGCTCTAGCACCCGAGAGATCCGGGTTTAAGCCTTGGGCCCATCAGAGAAAAACCAAGTCCAACATGAACCCTGCTGAGGCCACAGCCCAATAATTTTTTCTATTGTTGCTCAGAATGCCACCACAGTCAAGCGCCATGAGGCGGTCTTGATTCAGCAAGAGGCACTTATGGAGGAGTGGTTACCAATTTTATTGTTCCCTTGGATATCTCCCTTGGATGTCTTCCACCAAAAGCAGAAGATGTCTTTGCATTTAATTGAATGCCCTGACCTTCCTTTAATCTTTGGCTACCAATGGCTTACACATCATAATCCTAAATTTGAAATTCTCCATTGGGGTCTCCTGTGTCGCAAAGTTTGCTTAGAACCACCTAGTAAAAATCAGAGGAAGAAGGATGGAGGTCTGCATAGATTACCGACCTTTTAATAAGGTAACAGTCCAGAATTATTATCCTCTTCCACTCATGGCCCCTGTCTAGAAGTCACTCAAGAAAGCTACCATATTTTCTAAACTTGACCTGCGCAATGCCTACCACTTGGTGTGGATCAAATAGTGGGATGAGTAAAAGATGGTATTCAATACTTCTTTCGCCCTCACACATGCATCTGCAGTTTTTCAAACTCTCATAAATGATGTTCTTCATGAGATGCTGAAAAAGTTTGTTATTGGTCTACTTAGACAACATTTTGATTTTCTCAAGGTCTCTCCAGGAGCACGAGAGTCTTGTCAAAAAGATATTAAGATGTCTACAAATAAACCATCTATTTGTTAAACTCAAGAAATGTGAGCTTCACACCAGTTCTTGTTCTTGGGTTTTATCATTAAACCAGGACAGGAACAGATGAATCTCAAGAAGGTCCAGGCAGTGTTGGACTGGCCAGCTCCTACCTCAGTAAAGGGAGTTCAGTGGTTCATAGGATTTGCCCATTTCTAAAGGAAATTTGTTTGAAATTTCAGCTCAGTGGTGGCTCCTCTGACACCTCTTATGTTTAAGTTGACGCCTCAGATGTGGGAGTGGGAGCTGTGCTTTCCATGAGGGGGAGAGATAAATGTCTTCATCTGCATTTCTTTCACATCATCTCAGTTCCTGTGAACATAATATCACACTAGAGACCTGGAGCTGCTGACCTTAAAATTGGCATTTGAGGAATAGAGGCACTGGCTGGAGGGTACCAAGCATTCGATTCAAGTACTGACTGATCACAAGAACTTGAAGTATATCCAACAGGATAAACGCCTTACTCTCCGGTGGTCATTCTTTTTTAACCGGTTTGACTTCTTTCTATCTTACCGTGTCGGATTTAAGAACCTAAAGCCAGATGCCCTGTCCCGAATTTACAGTAACAGATTCAAGATTCAGAACCAGGTGGTGGTCAAACTAACCAGTTGTATGTTCCTAAGGCTGTTCATCCTTGATTTCTTCAGTTGGTACATTCCTCCTGTCTTATCTGCCATCCAGGTATTTCCCGCACCTTGGACGTTCTGCAAAGACACTTCTGGTGGCCTACAGCGAAAAAGGATGTAATATCCTTGGTTAATGTCTGTCATGTTTGCAACCAGAGGTAAACCTCTCACCCCCCGAGTCTTCTACACCCCCTGCCTATTGTCCACTAACCATGGTCCCCTGTCTCAGTGGATTTCATTTCTGGCCTTCTTCCCTCCCATGGCAACACCGTTATTCTGATCATTCTCGACAGGTTCTCCAAGGCTGCCCAATTCATTCCCTTACAAAAACTTCCATCTGCTAAAGAGATGGCAGACCTCATTACCTCTCATGTCAAGTCTTTGGTACTCTACAGGACATTGTCGGACCGGGGACCTCAGTTCTCATCCTAGTTCTGGAGCTCCTTTTGCCAGTCATTAGGTACATCTATTAGCTTGTTTTCTGAGTTCAACCCTGGGTCTAATGGACAGACAGAAAGGGGTTTCCCTCTATAGAATAGCATATTGATCAATGCAGTCACATCTGGAGAGTAGTTTGCTGTAAACTCATCCAAACCTATAACCAGTACCAGAGACCGTTAGTCAATGGGTTGGCTCTCCATTCAGAACCTTCCCCTCCAGATAGAGTCCTGCAAGCTTAACCAATGCTACATCGGTCCTTTAAAAATATATATGAAGAGTAAGCCCAGTTTCTTATCGGCTAGAAATACTTGGGTCATTAAAATTGGGGGGGATTGACAAACTAATCTTTTCAGTGTTGATGAACCGGTACATCCCACATAACTTTTAATTATGGAGATGTGATTTTATGATGTGGCAAATAACTACCTGCAGACTCAACTTGGAAGATGAGCTGAACTGCATAACCTGGAATTTTATATTGTTTGAGATGCCACCGTTTGTGTGTGTTTCTGAATGATGTGTTAGGGAATCAATATGTAACATTTTAAGTATAATCAAATGATCTGAACATCTAATCACCCTCTCATCGTAGGCTATAACATGTTTTTCGTGTCGCGTTATGCTCACATTCTGAATTCTATGATGTTCATTTCCGTGTGGCTTCAAATGGCTCTACTCACCTGTCAATATATATACTTTTTAACCACAAAAGCTTGTCTTACACACTATGCACTATATTATCACATTAAAATTCATGTTTGATGTTTGCAGAACTGTCATAGAAATCTACAATATGGGGACAAAAATTTATTTCTTTTTGTCTGAAGAAAGAAATTAATATCTTGAAAGGTAAGGAGATGAGTAAAATATCAGGAAATGTTTAATCTGGATGTGAACTAATCATTCAAAGCAAGCCGGAATAAATCCCCTGCTTATGAATGGAAGTAGTTTCCCTTCTTCCATTCACTGCAAAAACACTTGAGGAAGTCATAATCAACCAAGTCTCTACCTATCTTTGTCAGGACAACCTAGACATTCAACGGAGACTGTCTGCTCTCAAGTAAAAAACTAAGACTCACTAGAGTAGCTTCCGAACAGTCTGTTATTTTCTTGTTATACCAGTCTCCTGATTATGGCATGGTGAACCATCAGATCCTTTTTAAACCAACATCAATTTTTGTTCATAAAATTTACATAGTTAAATATAAAGCATTTCTCTTGTAGGATCGCACTTTATGTCAATCTTCTATCAAACCCTCCCAATACCCACCCACAATTTCCCTCCATCTTTGTTCCATCCCTCTAATACTCTCACACATATTGTAGCGAGGCAGAGGGAAAACAGTGACACAGTTGGATAGGTTTACAGACAAGTCCCCGGAGGGTGCTTTATTTACAAAGTGTAGGGTGTGCAAACGGTGCTCTTCTTCTAGGTGAGGTGCTCTGGTGCTCCGGGAAGTAGGTGAAGGACAGTGAGTAGTCGGGTGTGGGATCGTCACGAGCTGGAGTCTGCTGTGGAGAGACAGAGAGACAAGCATTAGCGCAGGGAGTCATAGGGTGAATGAAGCTCGTCTTCTCCTGGCGTGGGCTTGGTTTATATGCCTCTCCGCTTGATGAAGTCCAGCTGTGAGCGATCCTGTGCTGATGATGGTCCAGCTGGGTTGGATTAGCGACCAGGGCGACGTAGCATGTGTGCGCTCGTTACATTCCCCCCCCCTTAGCGTCGTCCTGGTCCTGGGTTTCCTGCGGAGGAAAGGTAAAGTATTGAGGGGGGGGGGGTAGAATGTTTTGACAGACCTGCCCATCCTGACCAGAGCCTTGAGAGACCGTCAGCGTTTCCGTGGGAGGCCCCGGCTCGATGTTGCACTGTAAAGTTATAATCCTGGAGCGACAGGAACCATCTGGTGACTCGAGCGTTGTTGTTTTTCGCTGTTGACATCCATTGTAGGGGAGCGTGGTCGGTTACCAGGGTAAACTTCCTGCCAAGGAGATAATACCTGAGCTCCAGGATTGCCCACTTGATCGCCAGGGCCTCCTTTTCCACCGTGGCGTACCGGGTCTCAGCAGGGGTAAGCTTCCGACTCACGTACATGATGGGGTGTTCTTCATCGGCGTGGACCTGGGAGAGGACCGTGCCCAGGCCCGAGTCGGAAGCATCTGTCTGTAGAATGAAGGGGCAGCCGAAGTCAGGTGCGTGCAGTACCAGTGAGGATGTAAGGGCCATCTTCAGGGCTTGGAACGCGTCATCTGCTTCTCTGTTCCATTGTATCCTCTCCGGCTGCCCCTTTCTGGTCAGGTCTGTCAGAGGGCTGGCTATGGATGAGAAATTAGGAATAAAACATCTATAGTAGCCCGCTAACCCCAGAAATGCACGTACCTGGGTCTTTGTGGTGGGTTGTGGAGTTTCTTGTAGTGCTTTGATCTTGCTTTGTTGTGGCTGTATGAGACCTCTACCGATGTGGAATTCGAGGTATTTGGCTTCTGCTAGACCCAGGTGGCATTTCTTGGGATTAGCTGTGAGCCCAGCCCTACGAAGATCTAGGAGCACCCTCCGCAACCGGGATATATGTTCTTCCCACGACTCGGAGTGGACGATCAGGTCGTCGAGGTATGCTGCTGCATACGGCTGGTGAGGCCTCAGCAAGATGTCCATCATTCGTTGGAATGTGGCTGGGGCCCTGTGGAGCCCGAAGGGAAGAACCCGGTATTGCCAGTGCCCACCGGGAGTGGAGAAGGCGGTTTTCTCCTTGGCGCTTTCACTTAGTGGTAATTGCCAGTAGCCTTTGGTGAGGTCGATCGTGGATATGAATCGGGCTCCACCCAGCCGATCCAGCAGCTCGTCCACCCGAGGCATGGGGTACCCGTCGAACTTAGATATTTCGTTGAGCTTCCTGAAGTCGTTGCAGAAGCGGAGGGTGCCGTCGGGTTTGGGGACCATCACTATGGGGCTGGACCACGGGCTACGAGATGGTTCGATGATTCCTAATTTCCTCATCTTTTGGATCTCTTCGTTGATAGCCAGCTGGCGAGCTTCTGGTACTCGATAAGGCCTCAGCCGGACGATGGTGCCAGGTGGGATGATGATGTCGTGCTGGATA